GGGAAAGAGCTGAAATTATAACAATTATTCTTATTTTAAATAATAATCGATTTATTCTCAAATTCAGTAGGTATTAAGTTGTTTTGAGGACACGGGGAGGGGGAAGGGTAAGCTGGGATGAAGTGAGAGAGTGGCATGGACATATATACACTACCAAATGTAAAATAGATAGCTAGTGGGAAGCAGCTGCAAGCACAGGGAGATCAGCTCGGTGCTTTGTGACCACCTAGAGAGGTGGGATAGGGAGGGTGGGAAGGAGACACAAGAAGGAGGAGATATGGGGATATATATAAATGTATAGCTAATTCACTTTGTTATACAGCAGAAACTAGCACACCATTGTAAGCAATTGTACTCCAATAAAGATGTTAAAAAATAAAAGCATGCAATAGATTTACTAAAAATAAACTTTTCAATATGTAGCCGGATGTTGTGAAGAACGTGCCCAGGGCACAGAAGACTAGGATTCTCTTTCAGTTTCATCTCTTACTAAACATATGATCTTGGGCAAGTCACTTTACTTCTTGGAGATAACTCCATCATCTGCAAAGTGACAGCAATAAACTAGATGATGTCTAAAAGTCTGCTGGAAATGGCAATACATCTATGATAATCATTGATATTTTTGAATGAATTTATAGGATAGAATAAAGTTTAAAGAAGTGATATATTACTCAAAAAAGTAATGAGGCAATTAAAATAAAAAGAAAATCTTGTTTATATATGTTATTTTTCTCATTCCAAATATAAGGGATACATAAGAAATGGCTTTCAATAAGACTAAAGGAAGATAGCTTATCCTTTGTGAAATCCTTCTAAAATTACACTGGAACAGGCTAAGGTTACCAACAGTACCTGAAGCAAGAGGGGTACTCCATTCTTCAGCCAACGGTATGTGGGTCTGGGTTTTCCAGTAGCCTTACATTCCCATCGGAGAGGGCTCCCGCTGTCTAACTGAGTATCATTCAGTTTTGCTACCCAGTGTGGGTATGCTGTAAGAGTTTAAGCATTAAATAAGGGTAATTTTATTTCTCAAATACTTCAGCAAGCTCAAAAGTCATATGGAATATTCACAAATTCTTATGCATTAACTATTGGTGCTTGGAGGAAACACAGCATTACATTACACACAGCACTCTATTTCCTGTGTAAAAAAATATAGCAATGATAATGTTCTGATAATCTAAGTGAAGCAAATCTTGTTTTACCAACTTTTCAGTAAGTGGCTAGACTCTCCCAATGAAGAGCACTGGAACTTGTTTAGTAAGAAGGCTTAGAGGTATCACTTCTTCCAAATACTAAAGCAGCTTTAGCATGGATTGAAGTAATAAAACATGTCAGTATATTGAATAACTGCTCTGCTTTTTCTTTTCTGATAGAACGTGAATAGCTTTGGAATAATAATTTGTAAATTCAAATTTCATTTGCTATAAAATTGTTCTATATTTACTAGCATTCTAGTGCATTATAAATATATATGTAAATATATAAGCTTTCAAAATTACAACAGAGAAAAATTTCTTTATCAGAAAGATAACAATGCAATTGTATGAAATCTGTAAGATATGGTTAAAGTGTCTTTCCTCCATTGTCAAATATTTTTTTAAGTTTGTACCTCTTAATCTCCCTCATCTATTTCTTTCATTCCTCCACCCCTCTCCCCTCTGGCAACCACCTGTTTGTTCTCTGTACCTATGACTCTGTTCTGTTTTATGTCTGTTCATTTATTTTGTTTTTTGGATTCCACATATAAGTGAAATCATATGCTATTTGTCTTTCTATGATGTATTTCCCTTAGCATAATACCCTCTAGGTCTACCCTTGTTGTTGCAGATGGCAAGATTTCATTCTTTTTTTTTAGGCTGTGTATTAGTCCATATTATATATATATATATAATCTCACATCATTTTTATCCATTAATCTATAAATGAGTACTTAGATTGCTTCCATATTTTGGCTACTGTAAATAACGCTGCAATAAACATAGGGGTGCATATTTATTTTCAAATTATTGTTTTCATTTCTTTGTATAAATACCCAGGAGTGGAACTGTTGAATCACATGGTAGTTTTATTTTTTAAATTTTTTGAGGAACCTCCATACCGTTTTCCACAGTGGCTACACCAATTTATATTCCTACCAACAGTGCATGAAGGTTCCCTTTTCTCCACATCTTTACCAACAATTATTTGTTGTTTTTTGATAATAGCCACTCTGAAAGGTCTGAGGTGATGTTCATTGTTGGTTTGATTTGCATTTCCCCGATGACTAGAGATGTTGAACATCTTTTCATGTGCCTGTTGGCTATATACATATCTTCTTTGAAAAAGTGTCTATTCAGGTCCTCTGCCCATTTTTTTAACTGGGTTGTTTGCTTTTTTGATGTTGAGTTGTATGAGTTCTTTGTATATTTTGGTTTATAACTCCTTATCAGATGTATCATTTGCAAATATCTACTCAGTTGGCAGTCTTTCTGATAGTTTCCTTTACTGTGCAAAGGCCTTTTAGTTTGATTTAGTTCCTTTTTTTTTTTTTTTTCGGTACGTGGGCCTCTCACTGTTGTGGCCTCTCACGTTGCAGAGCACAGGCTCCGGACACGCAGGCTCAGCGGCCATGGCTCACGGGACTAGCCACTCCATGGCATGTGGGATCTTCCCAGACTGGGGCATAAACCCGTGTCCCCTGCATCGGCAGGTGGACTCTCAACCACTGCACCACCAGGGAAGCCCGATTTAGTTCCATTTTTAAAATTGCTTTTGTTTCCCTTGCCTGAAGAGACTGATCCAAAAAAATATTGCTAAGACTTATGTCAAAGATCATACTGTCTATGTTTTCTTCTTGGAGTTTTATGGTTTCAGGTCTTACATTTACATCTTTAATTAATTTTGAGTTTATTTTTGTGTATGGTGTGAGAAAATAATTCAGTTGGATTCTTTCTCATGTGGCTGTCCAATTTTTCCAACACCCTTTATTGAAGAGGATGTCTTTTCCTCATTTCATATTCTTGCCTCCTTTGTCATAGATTAATTGACCATATATATGTGGGTTCACTTCTGGGCTCTGTATTCTGTTCCATTGATCTAGGTGTGTGTTTCTGTGCCAGTACTGTAGTGTTTTGATTACTGGAGCTTTGTAGTATAGTTTGAAATCAAGGATTGTGATACTGCCAACTTGGTTCTTCTTTCTCAAGATTTCTTTTGCTGTTCGGGGTCTTCTGTGTTTTCATACAAATTTTAGAATTATTTTTTCTAGTTCTGTAAAAAATGCCTTTGATATTTTGATAGGCATTGCATTGAATCTGTAGATCGCCTTGGGTACTATGGTCATTTTAACAATATTAATTCTTTCAAACTTTGAGCATGTTATACTTTTCCATTTGTTTGTGTTGTGTTCAATTTCTTTCATCAGTGTCTTATAATGTTCCAAATATAGGTCTTTTACATCCTTAGTTAGATTTATTCCTAGGGATTTGACTCTTTTTGATGTGATGATAAATGGGATTGTTTTCATAATTTTTCTTTCTGAGAGTTTGCAGTTAGTTTTTATTTAGAAGTGCAACAGATTTCTGTATATTAATTTTGTATCTTGCAATTTTATTGAATTCATTGATGAGTTGTAATAGTTTTGGAGTGATGCCTTTAGGATTTTTTCTATAAAGTATTCTGTCTTTTGCAAAGTTTTACTTCTTTTCCAATTTGGATTTCTTTTTCTTTTCTGATTGCTGTGGCTAGGACTCCCAATACTATTTTGAATAAAAATGGCAAGAGTAGGCATCATTGTCCTGTTCCTGATCTGACAGAAAATACTTTTAGCTTTCCACATTGAGTATGGTGTTAGCTGTGGGATTCTCATATATAGCCTTTATCATGTTGAGGTATGTTCCCTCTACACCCACTTTGTTGAGTTTTCATCATAAATGCATGTTGAATTTTGTCAAAAGCTTTTTCTATTGAGATGATCATTTGAGTTTTATTGTTCAATTTGTTAAGGTGGTATATCATATTGATTGATTTGTGTATGTTGAACCATCCTTGCATCCCTGGGGTAAGTCCCAGTGGATCATAGTGTAAGATCCTTTTAATGTATTGTTGAATTCAATTTGCTAATTTTTTGTTGACAATATGTACACCTATGTTCATCAATGATATTAGCCTAAAATTTTGTGTGTGTCTTATATCTTTATCTGGTTTTGGTATCAGGGTGATATTGGCCTTGAAGAATGAATTCAGAAGCATTTCTTTCTCTGCAAATTTTTGGAATAGTTTGAGAAGGATAGATGTTAACTCTTCTTTAAATTTTTGATAGACTTCACATGTGAGCCCATTTGGTACTGGACTTTTGTTTTCTGGAAGCTTTCTTTTTTTTTTTCCTAATTGTTAATTCAATTTCATTACTGGAAATTTGTCTGTTTATATTTTCTATTTCTTCCTGATTCATTCTTGGGAGATTGTACATTTCCAGAAATTTATCTGTTTCTTCTACATTGTCCATTATATTGGAATATAATTGTTTGTAGTAATCTCTTATGATCCTTTGTATTAGTGTGGTGTTGGTTGTAACTTCTCTTTCATTTCTGATTTAATTTATATGGTTTCCCTTTTTTCTTGATGAGTCTAGTTAAAGGTTTATCAACTTTGTTTATCTTTTCGAAATACCAGCTCTTAGTTTCAATGATTTTTTAAATTGTTTTCTAGCCTCTATTTAATTTATTTCTGCCTCATTTGCTGTCTGGCCCTACCTCATACAGTGTCTGCTGGCCTGCTGGAGTGAGTGCCTCTGTCCAGCATGGCTGGCTTCATGGCCTGGTGACACAGGGCTGGCACTGACCCACTGGTTGGTAGCTGGTTATGTGGCCCTAGGGGGTCCTGGGACTGGGGCCAGCCTGCTGATGGTAGGGGCTGTGTCCTGACCCAGCTGGCTGCCAGACCACTGGTGGGTGGGATAGCCCTTAAGGTACAAATTTTCTGGAATGCTTTCCTGAATCATCCCAGTAGAATGCAGTGGACGCTGTGCTCCCATAGTCCTTTGCACATGCTTTCATCACAGCTAGATAGCATGCTCTGCCCTAGGTGGGGCTTGCTTTTCATCTGATTTAGTGGACCAGGAGCTCCTTCAAATCTCTATTACTAATATAGTGCAGTAATAGCCACTAAATAAACATTAGTTGAATTAATGAGTGAATGAACAAAATGTCAAGTTGGTTGGAGTGCTGAATTTCTAAAGGAGTTGTTACTAATAAGAAAAGGAAAATTGGCTGAATTCAGATATTAATATTTCAAAATACTTTTTAAAGTCCCTGTGAAGAACATTAAGTTTTTTTAGAAGAACTGATCTTGAGATACAGTGACAGTTATAGCTGCTGGCAGATTCAGTTGAATATGAAATTTGTTTAATTTCATATTGGAAACATCTGTATTTGCTTGTATCAGTGCTCTGCATTATAGTTTTCCACTGTTTTTTATTGTCCTCATCTGAGAAATACGATTATCACTTACCCTTTATGTATAATGTACATTATAAAAGCAAATATGAAAAGTAGTAAATATGAAAAGTACAATTTGTGATTCATAGAAGTAAAGATGATATTGTACATATTTTTGAAGTAGATTTTCCCAATTTTACACATAACTTGTTATCTCTGAAATTTTTAGACAATATAAACACTTGTAGGCTGTGAAGTTTATTTATTATACAGATGCATTAATTTAGAGTAGGGCAGCAAATTTCTGTAAAGGATGAGATATCAAATATTTGAGGCTTTGCAAGTCAGCTGATCTCAGTCTCAATTACGTAATTCTGCCTTATCAGTGCAAAAGCTGACCTAGGCAATATGTAAACAAAGGGGTGAGGCTGTGTTCCAATAAATTTTTACTTACAAGGAAAAAAGACAAGTAGGATTTGGTTCATGGGCATTAATTGTGACTTCTAATTCAGGCCAAGGGCAAGAAGATGTTAATAAAGGTTACAAGATTTGTAACTTAGAGGATGGCTTTGGTACTGGGAATGTATCTCATTTTTAAGGTCATCAATTCTTTATGTTGTACAAAGAACCTTATAATTCCCCATTCATTTTTAATTTAAAGCATTTCTGTGTGTAGGGTAATTTTACTTGATGCTTTGCCATGTAAAAGAAACATGATTATAAATTATTACTCATTTTTTAATGTAGCTAACAAGCAATATTTAGTTCAAATTAGTTTGTATTTTCAGTTTGATTCTTGGGACTAGAGCATCCATTTTTGCTGAAAACACTTACTGTATACTTGTAATTGTCCACGAAAGGAATTTTTTCCACGTGAGTTTTCAGCTCGGCACTCATATATGCCTGCATCGTCCAGCTGCACATTGGGTATTTCCAGTACTGCCTGAGATTTACGCAGACGTGCTTTACCAGGAATATAACCATTAACCTTTATCCATGTGATTGTTGGAACTGGGCTACAATAAGGAAGGAAAGTATCATTAATACACTTTCCACTATTACGAACATAGATTCTGTTATCTGGTAATTTAAGCACTTAATAGGCTGAGTGCGATAAAGTGTCATCACAATTAAGGACCATGTGCTGGTTGATGTACTTCACTTTCCATGTGGATCGTCTGGTAAGTAGTTAGATTACAAGGAGGATAGTTTCCTTTTCTTTCGTATTTCAGGAAAGCAATTCAGAGACTCTATTTTACATATATATATATATATATATATATATATATATATATATATATATATTATATCATATATATATTATACTTTATTTTTTTAACTTTGTAAATTTGTTTAAATGGAAAAAGTAACTTGGATAAATTATAAAATAATATATGCTTATTACAAAAGTTGAACAAAAGAGTCAGGAAAAGTGAATTAAGAACTTTTTTTTGCCCCCACCCCTTCAAGTATCTTCTTTCTGCAAAAAGAAATACAGTTAGCAAGTAATTTCCCACCTTGTTGCGGTGATGCATGTATAAACACATATGATGAGTTATTTTATTAATAAAATATCAAATCCAAGACCAACTCCTGACTTATTCTGGCTAATAGCTGCATATTATTCCCTTGTATAGATGTATCAGAATTTAATCAACCATCCCCTATAGTTAGACATTCAGCACAGTCCCAACCTTTTTTTGTTGTTGTTACTAAGAAATAATATTTCTATAAGCAACCTTGTACATATACCATTGCTTTTCATTTTCTACAGCATTCACAAAAGTGGAATTGATAGATCAAAGGGCGTGCACATTTTTCAATTTAATAAGCACTGCCAGATTGTTTTCCAATAATATAGTAGCAGTTTCCACACCTATAAGTAATATATGAGACTGTTTCCCCATATCTTTGCCACCACATTATGTGATCAATCTGTTTAATTTTTGTCAGCATTGAAAGGTTAAAAGTGGCATTCTGTTAAAATTTCTCTGGACTCTAAGAAAGTTGAACACCTTTTCATAATTATATTGACTATTTGAATCTGCTTTTCTGTGAATTGTTTGCTTATGTTATTTTTCAATTATTTCTTTCACTTTTCTATTTGCCTGTTTGCCTTGTTTAGTTTCTTAGAGTTCTTTGTGTATTAGGGCTATTATGACTTTGTTTCTCAGAAAAATTCCTTCTCAGTGTATTGATAGTTTATGATGGTATCTGTGATACAATTTTATAAATATTTTTGGGAGAAACAAACATATTTGTAGTTTCCTTCATGACTTCTGAATTTTTATTTGCTTGTAAAATTATCTGTAAACCCAAGTTTATGTCCATATTTCCTTCAGCGTTTCTGGTAACATTTTTTTTTTTTTTTTTTTTTTTTTTTGTGGTATGCGGGCCTCCCAATGCTGTGGCCTCTCCCATTGCGGAGCACAGGCTCCGGACGCGCAGGCTCAGTGGCCATGGCTCACAGGCCCAGCTGCTCCCCGGCATGTGGGATCTTCCCGGACCAGGGCACGAACCCGTGTCCCCTGCATGGGCAGGCGGACTTTCAACCACTGCGCCACCAGGGAAGCCCTGGTAGCATGTTTTTTAAATTATTTTTTAGCAGTTGGATCTTTAATCCATCTGGACATGTTTTTGATGTGAAATAGGAAGTGCAACTAATTATTTTAGCACCCTTAAAACTCCTTTTCCGACAATTTTTGGAATGTTGCCTTTGTTATATAATTGGTTCTCACATGCTTAAATCTGTTTTGGGCTTCACAGTTCTGTTCCACTGGTTCATTTATTACTATCTACATTTAATGTACTTTATGCTCTGGACCCAGTCTGCTTTTTCAGTTCGATTTCTCACTACTTCCTTCCATATCTCCTGACCCAGAAACACAACTTTGTGTGTTCCCAGTCATATCTGTTAAAATGCTACTAATTCTTTGAGACCCATTCTAAATTCCTCCTCTTCAGTAAAGTCTTCCCTTATTTGTGCAGTCGGCTGGGAGTTTTTTTCTTTTAAACATCAAAGTGCTTTGTGTATACTACCTGGATGTTTTGTAACATTGCTGTACTAGAGTTGACAATTTTTGCTTCAATATCCAGGAAAACTGAATCTTGCATTTTCAAATAACACTTACATTGGCCTGATATATCATTCTTTTAATGTGTACAAGAATGGATTTGATATATTTTTAAATTTAAGATTTCTGCATCTATATTCAAATGTGAGATTGTCTGTACTCATTAGGTTTGTTGGTTTGCATGTGTCCATATTTGTTAGTGAGTTGGTGGTTGCTTTGTTTACAAGCTAGCATTGACAGATTTGGTATCATAATGATGGGTGATAGCTTGGTAAACATGCCAGAACATTCTTATCTCTTATCCTGATAGCTTAAATAGTAGAGAAAATATGTTCCTTAGAACACTAATAGGACTCACAAAAATTCACCTGCACCTGCCACCATCAGTAGAGTTAGTTTTTTGAAAGTGTTTTCAATTTCTTCCATGTTTTCTTTAATTATTTGTATATAAATTTTTGCTTGTGCCAACTTTAGCAATTCATGTTTCCCTAGAAAATCAAGTATTTCATCCATAATTTCAATGTTTTAGCACTGAGTTATATAAATGCCAATTGTTTAAAGGTTTAAAAAACTCTTCCATCATAAGTGGTCACATGTTTTAGTAGTAGTTAAGCCTGTATTCTACATCCATACTTCCCAGGATAAAAACAGCTCTTCAACTACAAGGTTTTATTTTTTTAAATAGATCTTTACTGGAGTGTAATTGCTTCACAATACTGTGTTAGTTTCTGTTGCACAACAAAGTAAATCAACCATATGCATACACATGTCCCCATATCCCTTCCCTCTTGAGCCTCCCTCCCATCTTCCCCATCCCACCCCCTATGTCATGGCAAAGCACCGAGCTGATCTCCCTGTGCTATGTTGCTGCTTCCCAGTAGCTAACTATTTTACATTCAGTAGTGTTTATATGTTGATGCTACTCTCACTTCATCCCAGCTTCACCCTCCCACCCCATGTCATCAAGCCCATTCTCTATGTCTACCTCTTTATTCCTGGCCTGCAACTAGGTTCATCAGTACCTTTTTTTTTTTTTTTAGATGCCATATATATGTGTTAGTGCACAGTATTTGTTTTTCTCTTTCAGACTTACTTTACTCTGTATGACAGACTCTAGGTCCATCCACCTCACTACAAATTACTCAATTTCGTTTCTTTTTACAGCTGAGTAATATTCCATTGTATATATGTGCCACATGTTCTTTATCCATTCACCTAAATGTCAATGGACATTTAGGTTGGTTCCATGTCCCGGCTATTGTAAATAGTGCTGCAATGAACATTGTGGTGCATACCTCTTTTTGAATTATGGTTTTCTCAGGGTATATGCCAAGTAGTGAGATTTCTGGGTCATATGGTAGTTCTAGTTTTAGTTTTTTAAGAAACCTCCATACTGTTTTCCATCATGGTTGTATCAATTTACATTCCCACCAACAGTGTAGGAGGGTTTCCTTTTCACCATTCCCTTTCCAGTATTTATTGTTTCTAGCTTTTTTGATAATGGCCATTCTGACCAGCATGAAGGGATACCTCATTGTAGTTTTCATTTGCATGCAACTACAAGTTTCTTAATATCTCATTTCATTTCTTCAGTTACCCCAAATATAAAATATGGTATAAATAATAATATGTAGTTCAGAGGGTAATTATAAACATTTAATGATTTAAAGTACTACCTGGCACAGAGCAAGTAGGTGAAAAAAATGTTTGCAATAATATGGTGATAATATTTGTACCTTCTTTACAATTTTAATGGTTTGAGTATGTGCTTTCTCAATCTCCCCCTCCCCTTTTTAGCATTCTGTTTTGGTTAGGGGTACAATATATCAGGGAATACAATAAAATTCGAACACAAAGATGCTGTGTAACCTTAAGAAAGCTATCTAAGTTCTACGATCTGGTTTCCCCAACTGTAAAATGAGGGTATTTATTTGTTCTTTCAGAATGCAAATATCTTGAGGGCAGAGGCATCATTTCTCTTGTTCAGCAGTATGTCCACAGTGTCTCATAGAGTGCTGGGCATATAGTTGGTACTTAATAAATGTTTATGAAGTAAATGAATGAATAAGTCTCATATCATGGCTTTGATCATTAAGTGAGCTAAGTTCTTATAAACTGCTTAGCAAAATACATTGCAAGTAGTGAGTACCCAATAAATGTTGGTGACAATGATTAGTTTTGTCAAAGGTTTGTCTCTTTTACTGGTCTTTACAATTTTTTTGGAATTTTTAATTTTTTGGTGTGTGTTTTAGAGTTTCTATTTTTTATTTCCTTATTCCTGTTTCTTGATTAGCACATTTATTATTGTATTCTAATTTTTTTAGCTGGAGGTGTGATATACTTATTTATTATGGTTAATAATAAAAGTATGACTGCTTTTACCTCTGATATCAGAGGTAACAACATGCCATACGTTTTGACATGTAGAGATAGTGACTGGTAGTTTCTGCTTTTTGGAACTTGTTAATCTTTGTAGCTAAATATAGAATGAATTATTGTGAAAGTTATATGTCCTTTGGAAAAAGAAGGTATTTTTTATTTTTGATAAATGTTTTAAAATTAGCTTTTAAATAGCTTTTGTTAATTGTTTAATTGAAATATTATTTATTGAATAATTTTCAATGAAGTTATTAGTACATAGAATTGAGTGGAAGCAAACAAGTCAGAAGACAATTAGATTTTGAGATGACTACATTGCCAAAGAAACCAAGTGTCTCAGTTTAAAACAGCAACAGATCTTTGAGCATTTGAGCCTTAAAACAAATTTTAAGCTTCCAAATGTAGATCAACAGGAATTTGAGTTACAAAATCTGTACAGCCCCCAAGGAAGGAACACTCCTCAATACACATTTCAACTGTGGCCTTGAAATAGAATAAAAAAGAAAAATGTCAGAGAGGGAAGTCAAGATACCCTGGAGGATAGACAAGGTAATTTCTTACAA